CAAGTAGTGCCTTAGCCTCTCTTTCACAGAAACGTGTGTTAGAGTCACCATTCATCCGTTGTTCAGGGTCTGCCAGTCAGCCCTGGCGTGTGTGTGTGTGTGTGTGTGTGTGTGTGTGTGTGAGATGAGGGAGTGAGAAAGTGAATAAACAGGAAGTTATCAAAGGCATGTTTAACCTGAGAGTCCCTCTTGGGAGCCATTGGTACCCTTCCTCCAACAGATTATGTCCCTCAAAGCAGTCATCAGACTATCTTTATTCCTGTTTTCACTTGTGTAGTTCCATCCCTCTACATACAATTTTTTAGAAAATTGAAAATCTTTCCTAACACAAAGCCTGGCACACAGTGCTGTTGAATAAAGATGGCTAACTAAAGCAGCCCTCAGACACGGAGAGAAAAAGGAAGGAGACGACATAAAAGTCTTCAGGACCAAGCAAATTCAGATGGACAGAGCCCATGCCCCACGTCCACCCCGTAGGCCCCACTTCAAAGGGAGAAAGATATTGGATGGCAGAGCTTCTTCAGCAATTTGACACGATGCCTCTAGTTACGCCTCCCGGAGTTCGTGTGCCCCGATTCTGGCTCTTCTTGGTTTCTGTTTGCTCCACACCCACCAGTTACTTATTCTTCGTCAGACACTTGATTCCCACATCCCTGCTTTTGTTGCCAGAGCCTGACTAGTTGGCCTGGATTTGCCTCTGGCTGTAACCAGGGCTACTAGCATCTCAGCTTTTTCTTGGTCCCCACGAGCTAGTGCAGTGGCTCTTCTTCATCCCCACCGTTCCGTTATCAGCTGTTTTCTGCTTCAACCAAACTAAGAATGACTGTGAATTACCTACTCAGACACATAGTGCCATGACTCCCTTAAATGAATCCTGCTTTTAAATCTTGCTTTTCTCACCCTAGCCAGTTTGGCTCCGTGGATAGAGCGTTGGCCTGCAGATTGAAGGGTTCCAGGTTCGATTCCGGTTAAAGGCATGTATCTTGGCTGCAGGCTCCTCCCCAGCTGGGGCCTTGGCCAGGGCCCATGCAGGGGGGCAACCAATCGACGTGTTTCTCTCACATCAATGTTACTCTCTGTCTTTCCCTATCTCTTCCACTCTCTCTAAAAATCAATGGAAAAATATCCTCAGGTGAGAATTAAAAAATAAATAAAATAAAATCTTGCTTTTCTCTATCCAGAGTGTGGCCATATAATTTGTCATTGAACCTAAGGCTGGCCCTGGCTGGTGTGGCTCAGTTGGTTGGGCATCTTCCCCTGTACCAAAAGGTCGCAGGTTCGATTCCTGGAGGTCAGGGCATATGCCCAGGTTGCTGGTTAGATCCCCAGTAGGAGGTGTGCAGGAGGCCGCCAATGGATAGTTCTTTCTCACATTGATGTTTCTCTCTCTTCATTCCTCTCTCTCTAAAATCAATAAAAACATATTTAAATACACACACACACACACACACACACACACACACACACACCCTGAGCCTCTTTATAGAAGGAAAAAAGAGATGCTTTTGGTCATTGCAGACAGCAGGTGGACACCAGTTTGGCGGGCTCCCTCCATCCAGTTTCCTAAGGGGTCCAGCTGCTACAAGGACTTCTTTCTTGGCTCTCTGCTCCTCTAGCCAGGCTGTTCCCCTCCACTGGAAGTTCCACTTGGGCTTCAGATGAGCCCTTTCAGTGCTGGGAGAACTTTCCAGGCTTCATCAGTGCCTTGTGGAAAGACTCATATGTGGAAGTTCTAGTAAGGGTAATAACATCGCTAACATTTATGGACCTCGTATTATAAGAGAGGCATTGTGACAAGCATTGTATATTATTTTGTTGAATTCTTTTTATAACCTAGTGAAAGTCCTTTTATTTTAGAGCAAAGACAAACAGGCTTATACTCAAGGGCATATACTTGTATCTGTAGAGTGTAGATTTTATCCCAGATCTATCTGCCTGCAAATGTTCATGTTCTTAAATATCATAATACAATCCTTCACTGAAGTATCTTCTAATAGAGAAAATGCTGATCATTATAAAATATCCATAAACCAAACAAAGGCATAAAATTGATAATAATCTGAATTTTAAGACTTCTTACCATTCTCTTTTTTCAAAACTGATTCATTTATTTTCTACTAGAGGCCCGATGCACGAAATTCGTGCAAGGGCCTTGGCCGGGGCCCCAGCCGCTGCCACAACAGCAGGGGCCTCTGCCAACTCTGCCTCAGCCCCCCACTGCAGCTTTGTCTGGAAGGAAGGACATCCAGTCTAATTAGCATATTGTGCTTTTATTATTATAGATTAGACAGTATTTTAAATAGCAATGTACTTGTCCTCATAGAGGGAAATTATGAACTTTAATAGGAAAAAATGTCATTATCAATTCCCAATGATAAAAATAATCCCAAATCCCCAAGAGTCATTTTCTATGCTCACACTTCATCCTGAGGCTTCTTTTAATCTAATCATAAAACTTGCTCATCTGGTTTTTAGTTGCCACACCTCCATTATCAACAACTACATAACAGAGCTCACATCACATCCATCTCCTAGACTGATGGGTCTCCACCTCAACAGTAAAAGACATGGAGCATGTGCTCCTTAGTAAATGCATGCTTAGAAATTACATACCTGCTCGAGTGTAACTAGAGAATCCACTCCAACATGGAAATAAAAACTGTGATATTAAAAGTAAATGTAAGTGGCCTGGCAGGCGTGGCTCAGTGATTGAATGTCTACCTATGACCCAGGAGGTCACTGTTTGATTCCCAGTCGGGGCTCATGTGTGGGTTGCAGGCTCGATCCCCAGTGTGGGGCATGCAGGAGGCAACCAATCAATGCTTCTCTCTCATCATGGATATTTCTATCTCTCTCTCCCTCTACCTTCCTCTCTGCAATCAATAAAAATATATTTTTAAAAAATAATAAAAGTAAACATAAATGCTCAGGATCTCCCTGGATCCCAAAGGGTTATCTTGTCTACCCTGAAGGACCACTCTGTAAACTCATCATTTAAACTAGTGCATCTCATGTTAACGAGCATACAAACCACCTGGAGATCTTGCTCTCAAAGCAGATCCTGGTCAGTGGGTGTGGGATGGGCCTGAGAGGCCGTCTTTCTAATAAGCTTTCAAGCAATGCTAATGCAGTTCACACGCTGAGTAACAGGAACTTAACATGAGATCAAGCATTGGCCCAACTTAGGTTGCTATCTTCCAGGGAGTAAAATAAACAGCTCATTATAAAGTCAACTTTCCATCACCAAGAGCAAAATTGAGGAAAACTACTTTTTAAGCCATACACCAATCACTGGACACATTGACCAATAACATGAAAACAAATCTGAAATGTAAATATTCAGCATGGCTGGGCATACCCTCGCTCAGCTCCAAGTACCACAAACAAACGAATTTTGTTTTCACACTTTTTTTCTATCACCGAAGATAGAAATAAAAAGACATTAAGAAAATAAGAAAAAGAACAAAATTGATTAAAACACCTATTTTCATCTGCTTCCAACATGAAGTAGTAGGCAGGAAACCTGTGATTAACTATTATCAGCTAACATTTATGTTTATATCAACAGAGTCACAGCAATCTGGTTTTTTAATAGTGTTTTTTCTTTTAGTTTTTAAATGTATGCAAAATGAGAATGGCCAAAGTATACTATTTAAAAACCCTATCTTAAATGTAAAAACTGTAATAGGTCCTGACAGTTTAAATGTACAAGGACTTTACCTATGAAACTCAGGCAAATTCAGAACATCAGCAGAATAAAATCAGAAAGCATTTGGTCTTATTGCTAGTCTTACAGTTTCCCTAACAAATCCTGCCTGCATGAGAGCGTCTCATGCTGATCTGCAGTAATTTCCGCCAGGCAAATCCACCCCCCAAACTAGCATCGTCCCACGTTTCAGTTATTTACCTTGTCAATCATTTTTCTTGCTTCCACTTCCTCACTGTTGGGATTCTCTAACTCAATGGTATAAGTACCCTTGTCACTTTGGTCATCATCATTATCCTTTTCAGAGGTAGCAGAGGGAGCTTGGTTTTTTAACATTTTATCCATCTCCTGGCTCGGTCTGTGCCCAAGACTCCCTGAACTTCTTAACAAGGCAGCTGGTAGGAAGGGGACAGGCACGGCGGGCTCCTCTGATTTCTGCTTTAACAATTTCCCATGTGGAACACCATGCCCCCCTCTGCGGTGCGCAGAGCTAGTCTGTAAAGACAAAGAAACCACTTTGGCATCTGCTGCTGGAGATGGGGGTTTTGCAAGTTTTGCGAGTGGTGTGGAATGAGTCGTGTCCTCACATAAGACTCCCGCACTCTGAGTGAGAGAACAAGACCTTCTCTTGCTGGGACTGTCTCCATCAGAGAAGGCAATCATACAGGCGGTGGGACTTACGACTGCCGGGTCCTGGTGCTTGTCCGCGGCCAGGGCCTTCTGCAGCTTCTTCTGTTCCGAGTGGTGGCGCCTTAGGTGCTCCTCCAGCGTGGCCCGTTTGCTACAGCGCCTGTGCGCCCCAGCGTTTTCGGAATCGCTCTGGGTACCATCATCGTGTTTATTTCCTGGACACAAAAGAGAAACGGCATCATAGAGAAGGGCAAAGTCCCCGGGGAAAATAAGACGCATGCACAAAGGTGCCATTTGTTTTGCCCCCTTCGCCATTCAATCCGAAGTCATATGTTCTTTCCAGTAACAGGCTCTGCAAACTTCCCTCGACTGCAGAGCTGCCATTAGAATGTCGCCAACCCACAATGAGGCCCTGTATAAACGACTGAACAGGACTGTCTTTCTTTCTGGAAATTTTAACTTTAGGATGATGCATCAATGCATCAACAGATAAGCAATGCGATAGCATCCACGATTGTCTGTGTTTATAACATTAATAAACGTGAATCCTACCTTCAAACCTTATACTTTATTTAAGCAATCAAAAATGCGTTTCTAGAATTAGTGAGGAAGAGAAAGGAAAAGGGTGATTCTACTGAAATGCTTTATCCTTACACAGGAAAAGAGAATACAAATGCCATAAAAAATGTGATGAACCTTAACTTTCGATGACATATACTACATCCCTAAGTATAGTGTCTTTATAGTTTCCACCAATGACTGTACAATTATTTACAAACATCTTTTTAGCTACAAGAATTTTTGAAAATCTGCATTTTGAGCTCTAAACTCTAGTAGCTTCCGAATTAAATAAAGCATGCTGAAGGCCTATCTATAAAATCCTATATAAATCTAACACCTACTGGGCAAATGGCACGGTGCTAAATATAACCATATAAAAAAGTTAAGTTAGAATATATTGGAATTTTGAAATATCAAAATGTAAAACTATGACAATTACTTGACTTTTCATTGATTTGAATTCTCATTACCTAAATAAGAATATTACAACAGTCAAATAAGTATTATATATATGGCATAAAATTATTAGAAAGTCAAGAGTTATTCTATGCATGTTTAAGATCAACTCATAAATGAGGGCTTTTAGAAGCTATAAATGAATCTATCAACCAGATGTGTTCCAAAGTTTCCAGGACTAAATTTGATTTTTAAATTGTCCTGGGCCACAAATGTAATCAGAATACTTGCTGAATAACATGGCATCAAAGAAAATGATGAGCAGAACTGAGACTTGGAGGCTGGGAGGGACAACACACATATGTCCCGGGAAAAAGTTGTTTCATATTCATGGGCTGGTTCTAATAAATTAGAAGCTACCGTGTTAAGGATTTAACACAAGAGGACCAGCTGTAAAAATGTGGTGCATAAACGCAGCGAGAAGACTCAGGAGGGTGAAGAAACTGGCAAGGGAAGCCCAGGGAGTTAGCAAGACCAAAAAGAGGGGTTTGGGGAGCTCTCCCAGTGCAGGGATGGTGAGTAATATAAACTTCAGATATGACAACAAATCTGAAACTTTCTTCTAACTAGTAACTATTCAAAATGCAATCTGAAAAGAAAACACACACTTGTTTAATTAATAGACTCCCTGCCTCAGGTAATTAAGCTACAAATTCAGGAAAGCAGATGGAATTTAAAAAAAAAAATCCCACCAGTTCAAATACAAAGCTCATTAAAAACATGACCTTTTTCAGCCTATCTCACGGTTGCAGTGGGATATATTGAAAGAAATCCAGTTTGTAAGAGCTGGATGTTACTAACCGCCAATATTTCTTGCATAATAAATACAAAAACCCCGAATCACACACGCACAACACGAAAACAGCATCTTAACAGAATTTAGTTCTTGTACCAACATATAAAATTTGGCACGTAAGTGATGTCAGGCCCTTTCAGTATCTTCTCTTTAAGTTATAGCTTAAAATTTTTCTTTTTCTTTTTTTAAATATGTTTTTATTGATTTTAGATAGCAAGGAAGGGAAAGGGATAGGGAGAGAGAGAGAAACATGGATGTGAGAGGAACATTGACTGCCTGTCTCCTGCATGCCCCCCACTAGGGATAAAGGCCGCAACCTGGGCATGTGCCCCTGACCGGGAATTGAACCGATGGCCTCGGGACTCATGGGTCTACACTCCACCACCAAGCCACACTGGCAGGGCTAAAATGTCTATTTGAATGTAAACATCAGCCATTTTCTTTTCTGGAAAATTTATTATTTCTCTTCTATTTCTCAGTGTCACACAAGGTGAACATGTGACCAGAACTGCAATCTCTGTTTTCTCTCAACAAAAGAACCACTAGGGAACCCTCCTCCCCTAGGTTTCTTCCTGTCTGTCTTGCCTGTCTCTGACTGTGCCTGAATAAGCGGACTGTCCCTTTAAGCATTGGGGGGCAGGCTAGCTGGACCGTGCCAGCAGCTGTGGCCGAGAGGAGCAGCTCTCCTAAAGGGTGAAGTGTATGGGCTTTGTGAACATTCTTTGCTTCACTGTCCCAAAGCGCGTGCACTTGACTCTTGCAGGAGCAAAGTTGTTGTGTTTTTTGGTTTTGTTTTGCCTACTTTCAAGTTTCTGACTCATCTAAACAGTTGCTGAAAGTTTAGTGAATATAAAATTATTACTATTTGCTGTCATTACATTTATGTGGTTAGAGTCTAGGTATATACGTTCGATAGCCTAAAATGTGGAAAACCTTTATCTAACAACTAGAGGCCTGATGCACGAAATTCGTGCAAGGGGCTTGGCCCTCGCAGCTGCAGTGGCTTGCCTTAGCCCTTGTAGCCCCGGCTTCATCTGGTGGTCCGGAAGGTTGTTTGGCTGTCTGGTCTAATTAGGATATTATGCTTTTATTATTATAGATGGCAGTTCTGGCTTTGGGGAAAATCAAATGTCATTTGTAAGAATATCTGGAATAATAAAACGGGTCTATCTTGAACCAAACTGAGTTATATTCAGAGAGATTTTTTAGATGCTTGTAGAATGGTATGAAGGCATATCCAATAGAAGGGTTCCGAGCAATGGCAACATACTAAAATATGTGTCTACCCAAAAATCAATTTCGAGGGGTGGTAGTATTGATGGTATAATTTCTGGTAAGGTTTTCAAATATGTAATCATTAATGCATGGATATAGTGTGACTGTGGGCATTAATGCCTCTATTTGGAATTAGGCTTGTTCAAGAGCAGAGAATGTCTTAAAATGATGGCTTAAAATAACAGCTAATACAGAAAATAGTGATAATGACTAAAAAGCAGTTATAATAAAAGGGTATTTTTAAAAACTGGTAGCTTTTAAAAGGACCTTTTAGCTCACTTTTAATGTATTTATTAAGCGTGGCTTTAAAAATACGATGTTACTTCTAAATTTTCAAGGTTTATGCTACCATTTACATTATACAAGGATATTAATATTATTTATCCAATTCATAAAAATGGTCGGTTTACAAATCGGTAACTTTAATTTGTAAGCTTGAGCTATACATTCATATAGATCTCTACTGTGTATTTAATATTACACAGTAGAAGTAAAGGATAACAATCTCAAGTCAGGTAATTGCATATGATTGTAATTAAATATAGCAACAGGCCCAACAAAGATGTAGGTAACCTCCCCATCTCACTATCTTGAAATACCTTAGAAGCAAATCAGAAATAGGTACTTCTTCATCACTTGCCCAGATTCCCAGGGCATAAAGTACGAGTTAAGCCACAGTCAGTCTTGTCATTGATTGTCAAGTCATTCATTGTTTAATTACTGAATATCTATCAGGTACTCAAGTCTCAGGTGAAGTGTTAGGAATACCAAGTAAGTAATAGTCTCTGACCTCAACAAGCATTTTTTGAAAGCTCATTATCTCCTTGTACAGTTATAGAATGGCCAGATTAACATGCAATCATTTCCCTCATAGATAGCTTGTTAAATAAAATATAGAGTAACACAAAACTGTATTTGGCAATTCTAAAGTAAATTTAATTAGCAAAAACAATGGAAAAATTCGTTAAAAACTTCTATGTGCAGGTATAAAGATCTTGCAATTTTTGGCCAAGAATTATACTAGTAAAGCATATATAAAAACTAGTTCATGAATAAATAATTCAATTGTCATTTTCATAAAAGTCTGACTATTGAAAAAATGTAATTAAGTCGATTTCGAGTAAGTTATCTCTAAACCAAAATTTTTTGTTTCATGAGTAACTACTGAGAACAGTTTGAAACCCTCTATCAACAATATGACTTTATTACCAAGGTAGAACTTTTGACCCTTTATCAAATGGCTTAACATTTCTTTCAAAATTTAGATATTGCCATTTTACTGGAAGGATCCCAATAGAGAAGAATATTATTGAACATATCTTTTCCTTAAGTCAAGAGAATGATGAGAATTGTCTTCTAAGGAATTCCCCTGATGAACTGACTAAATTTTTAATTCCATAAGAAAAAAGAGACATACTTAATGGCATAAATCAAATTTACAAAACCAATCTGGTTTTGGCAAGAACACGAAGGCAGACTATTTGGAATGAGTTGGCCATGGGCAGTATGGCTTGCTTTTGAGCTTTAAAATCACATATAAAGCTCGGAGGGAGCAGTTTTCTACCGCATTATTCATCTAATAGCAGTTGGGGAACTGTGAAGATGGAATTCTCTTTATCGTAATATAGGAAGTTCTGAAACGATCAATTCACTTTACCTTTCAACCTTTTCAAGTAAACGGGCACATCACTCTTAATACTTTTGGAATCGTCTTCGGTTCTCTCCCAGACCATCTGAGGAGGGTTGTTCTGAGCTAGCCAGTCGGCGACTTTGTTTTCTGGGGCCATCATTCCAGTCTGGATCCCCGGCAGGTCTTGAGTTCCCAAAGACGACTTCCTGGACTTGTGGCGCTGCTCAGAAGTAAATTTTGTCACATGGTCTCTAATCGTTACCTTCCCTGGGGCACTGTCATCAAATTCAATGGTAAAGGAGGCATGCCCTGCACCTGTGGTATGGGAGCTCGGTGTGTCTTTTGTTGGGATTTCATGGATAGTGCTTTCTGTGATTTGTGACGGCTGCTGGAACTCTTTTGTAGGGATTTCAAAATAACTCGGTTCCCTACATAAAGGAAAAAGTACTTCTTCATTTGCCGCTGCAGACTGTTCCTCCACTTGCTTGGCATCTAAGCTGCACCCTAATGAGAAAAATAAGAGAAAATTCAAAATATTGGGAGCTTCTAGCATTTGAAGGAGTCAAGAGCACCACAAGTCAGATCACAGTCTGGATGAAAACCAGGGCAAATGTCACAGAGAAGAAGTCATTTTGGCTGTAAACATGGTATTCAGGTACCAACAGGAGATGCAAGGTGAGTAGCAGCCATGGCAAAGGATAGCAAAGCAGCTAAGAGATGGACCTTGAATGGCGAGGGCCATGTTCTAGAAATCATCGAAGTGCTAAAGAATTGAAATCAAATGGAGATGGAGATTCATGTTCAATGTATATGTTATATATCTCGAGTGACAGAAAAAAAGATGAATTTCCTTATCAAGTAAGGAGAATGAAATATCTGAAATATCTTGAACACAAGTAGAGCTCCTAGGAGAACAGGTGCTCAAGTGAGGAAACGCACATGAAGTCAGTACGTAAGCGATGCTCTACAAGCAATGACCCCACTTACCATTCTTCCCATTACATTCACAATCATTACTAACAGAACGACCAAAGTAATAAATAAAATAAAACATGTGATCCTTGCAAGAAGATACATTTTATAAAGAATAAAAGAATATTAAAGACAAAGCATGTGGTTTGTCTGCAGCATTGCCATTCAAGCAGCAGGGTGAAAAAAATAAGATAAAAGTAGAAATTCAGTTGCCAGCCATCCATTGCAGAAGAAAATCCAAGCAGCAGGGTGAAAAAAATAAGATAGTAGAAATTCAGTTGCCAGCCATCCATTGCAGAAGAAAATTCATGTACATTTCTATACAGCAGAATATGCACAAGTGTCAAAAATCCTTGGAGAAAGGCCGAATTACAAAATCAGATCAATAACAAGAGCTGGCAGAAGAAGCCAACAGCACTGGAACGCTACCATTCGTCGATTGCCCAGAAGCGAATATAAAAGCATAAAAATAAAAATAAACACATTTATACATAAAGCATGTAAAAGCATAGAAGTGAAAATGACAATTGAAATGTTTTAAGTATGTGTTATCAGAAGTGCAGATGCAATACATACATATGTACATTTTTTAAAGATTAAACTGCCCTGTTTTTCAGGAAGCAACTGACCATGGCTATTTATCAAGATGGTAAAGAGTGAGTTCAAATGAAAAATATTTCCCTAAAGCTCAGACAGCATTCTTATTGAAAATACAATGGGAGAAACCATTTGCAGATCATTTATTAGGAGGAAAGGCCATGCAGGGAGACCAAGTTGTTTTCAATCATTTTCTAATTAAGTGATGTAGTTAGTCTTTTGAAACATCTTTTGGAATATTACATCTTGATGGGATTCTTCAGGTGCTGTAATTGACTTCTTGGCATATTCTGAATATGAAGCCATCATAACACTGTTTGCTTTTAGGGTACAGAAGATTGGGACGGCAACATTTCTGTAACCGAAAGTAGGGGGTAGTGTATAGAAGACATCAAGCTAATTTCAAAAAAAAAGCAGGAAAAAACCCCAAAATCTATGCAGAAGATAAACAATATCCAACCAAAACAATCTAAATGTAAAAATGATCCTTTTCAAAGTCTACTTAGTTTTTTCACCACTGAAAATGAAAAAAAAATTATATCAAGAACAACTTTACGTTATCAAAGCAAATATTTTACATGCTCTTTGAAAGGTTATATAAGACTTAATAATTTAAAGTTACATTTAAAATTTTTCTTTATTAAAAGTTAATTTATCTTTTTCTTAATAATAAAATGTTCACTTGAATTTGAATATTTACTCTGAAGGCCTATCACTTGAAATTCCTGTGACAGTATAATGCATTAACCACTTGACATATATTAATAAACTCATTAATAAATGTTATTTTTGATTTTTTTCATACATTGATTGATTTATTATGTACAATGTACTGTACTTAATCAATTCCATATAGTACAACTGGTTTATAAACCATGCTACCAACAGAGATACCTAATCATTCCTTCATTCCTTCATTCATTCATTCTGCTTTGCTCATCCTTCAAATAACAGTAACACTAGGGACAAAGGGTGGTAATTTTCTATAAAATGATGTGGCTGAATTACAATGTAAAAACCACAAAGAGCTGGTCCAGGGATATATGGTTTACAACCACTTGCCACTCAGCACTCAAAAGAAATACTTTCCTCCCTTGGGAATGAAAAGTTCCCTGTTACTACTAACATACTTACAACATATGTTCACATTATAACAGCAGAGACCAACAAGTGCACATCACTGCTTTTAAGCTTATTGTTCCCTTAGTCCTACTGCAAAATCGCCTTTACTCCAAGGACTAGGAACCTGAGGCTGGTACAAGTTAACATCGACTCTACCAGCAATCAGCTGTCTAACACCATCGAGTAGCACTTTAGAGTAGGGAAGGCAGCATGTTAAGATCCGATGGTTATAACCAGGCGGCCTGGTTTAGTAAAGAGCAGGGATAAGACTTCAAATCAGATTAAATCCTGTCTCTATCAGCCTTTAGTTCTCATTTTCCTCCCCCTAAAATGAGGAAATAGGAATATCTATCCATCAGACTATGAACATTTAGTGAGATACTATTGGGTGAGATCTTGTAAGTTACTCAGAACAAAACTTGGCATAAGTAGGCACACAAATAAACGTTTCTCTCTTGTCCTGCCCCAAATCTCCAACATGGTTAAGAATGAGGAAAACAACCAACTAAAATCAAAAATCTAACTCTAAGAAACCCAAGGCAGACATGACGCCTCTTCTCTCCTATCTTCGACCTTCACTAACAAGGAAGTCCCTCTTCAGAGCTAGTGAGGCTTAACCTTACCAGACTGCTGTACCGATTTTTAGGTAATTTCCACACCCAAAAATCTAACTCTAAGAAACCCAAGGCAGACATGATGCCTCTTCTCTCATATCTGTGACCTTCACTAACAAGGAAGTCCCTCTTGAGAGCTAGTGAGGCTTAAGGTCAGACGGATTACTGAGAAGTAAGAGTCAAATTGTAGAGAGAAGACTAAAACAATCAAGGGGAGGCATGGCTCAGAGACACACAAGCCCAAACCATTCCGTGTACAAGACATACACACACCCCTTCCAAGTCTCCCAGGGACATCGCTGTAATGCAGTGATTCCCAAAGTGGGCGCTACCGCCCCCTGAAGACGTACACACACCCCTTCCAAGTCTCCCAGGGACATCGCTGTAATGCATCACAGTTCAATGTTCTTTACTCAATATTCATCACTTAATATTCATAATGATTCCGAGTCATAAAGCAAACATTTTAATTACATTCCGCCTCCTCTGCTTGGAAAGGCAGCGATAGGGGTAATTCATTTAAAATAGAAATACAGGAAATCATTCAACTTTGTAAAAAAAATTGTCAGTTGTAAAAGTTCAGTCATCTGGAAAATTGGTTCAGGGCCTCAGGTCTGGTAGACTTAAGGTCAGACGGATAACTGAGAAGTAAGAGTCAAGTTGTAGAGAGAAAACTAAAACAATCAAGGGGAGGCGTGGCTCAGAGACACACAAGCCCAAACCATTCCGTGTACAAGACGTACACACACCCCTTCCAAGTCTCCCAGGGACATCGCTGTAATGCATCACAGTTCAATGTTCTTTACTCAATATTCATCACTTAATATTCATAATGATTCCGAGTCATAAAGCAAACATTTTCATTACATTCCGCCTCCTCTGCTTGAAAAGGCAGCGATAGGGGTAATTCATTTAAAATAGGAATACAGGAAATCATTCAACTTTGTAAAAAAATTGTCAGTTGTAAAAGTTCAGTCATCTGGAAAATTCATTATGGGGAAGAATTCCTTTCTCAGAAGATAAGAAAAACAGATCAAGTTCGGGCCCACTAAATTGGGGAAGTGTAGGCCTACTAGGAAAATTAGGGCTTTTCCAAATTAAAACAGAAATATAAGCAACTTTCCTCTCTTAGGAAACTGACAGAACATACTCTGGAATTATGAATTTAACATCCATTTCTCTTCCAAATCTATTTTGTTTACACTAAAATACACCAAATAACATACTAAATATACTAATATTTTATTTATACTGATACTGTTGTTAATCTAAATTCTAGATATTTAAACATTTTTAATAACTATGTTAGAATTAATTCTGTTTACCTAAATCAGAGCAATTGGTGATAATATCCTTAACTTCCTTAAAATATTTTATGACTGAATGACCTTCCAGGGAATCCTGTAATATACAGAATCCAGAAAAAGGAGTTCCCCTTATTCTTCTGTACTAAATTAAATAAAATATTACACTAACTCAAGATGACACAGACTGTAATGTGAAGGCTCCTTCTGCTAGTATATTCAAGTACTTGGTATAACAAAGACTGGTAAACCACTTTTGCTTAAAAGGAGTCACAACCTGCAAGTTTTTAAATTTAGTTAGATGAGGTTAAAAATCAATATGAAAGAGACAAAAATCTACTCCTCACAGTTGTGCACACCTTCTCGAAATGAAATTTAGTTAGATGAGATTAAAAATCAATATGAAAGAGACAAAAATCTACTCCTCACAGTTGTGCACACCTTCTCGAAATGTATGCAATGCTTAGAGGCCTTTCATTGTAACCTAAAGAAATGTGTAAACCAAGTGAGCAGGTAGAAGAGCATACCCAGCCCTGGCCGGTGTGGCTCAGTTGGTTGAGCACAGTCCCATGCACCGCAAGGTCCCAGGTTCAATTCCCAGTCAGGGCACATGCCCAGGTTTTGGGCTCGATCCCCAGTAGGGGGTGTGCTAGAGGCAGCGGAATGATGTTTCTCTCTCTGTCTCCCTTTCTCTCTCTCTAAAATCCAGAGACGAGCACACCTGTAGCTAACGTGAGGACTGATTTTTCTCTAATAGGACTCAAAATATTCACATGATTTCAGGAGAACTTGATTGCTCTGATGTACAGATTTGCTTCTAGGGTGTTTAGGCTACTTGGTAAGTCTGTAGAGATTTTGGAAACATGGGGACCCTTAGAGAGGAACATCAAAAATAACCAGGTAGCCCTGGCTGGTTTGGCTCAGTGGATAGAGCATTGGCTTGCAGACTGAAGGGTCCTGGGTTCAATTCCGGTCAAGGGCACATGCCTGGGTTGCGGGCTTGATCCCTAGTAGGGGGTGTGCAGGAGGCAGCTGATCCATGATTCTCTCTCATCACTGATGTTGCTATCTCTCTCTCTCTCTCCCTTCCAGGAGTCGAGCTGCCTGGGTTAAAATCCCAACTAAATTATTTACTAGCTGGGTGACCTTGGTAAGGAAATTCCTCTCTGAAATCAATAAAAATATGTTAAAAAAAATAATCAGGTAGTAGACAGATACTCTCTTCTCCTTTCTGGAATGTTCACCTGTCATGACTAAGTACTAAGATTTTACTTCTAAAATTTGGTAATCAAGAAGCAAATGTCTTTTTGTTTTACCAAAATAGTATGCTTAGAGAAGAAATAATTAAACTAATAAGCATTTGCGTTTCACGATTTGAAAGATTTTTTGTAACAGAAACAACTTAATTTCAAAATGATAGCATGAAATAACATTTAGTATATGTTTTCAAATTGATTCTACAATCTATGCTGGCATCATAAATTATTTCAGGTCAGTAAATATTTTGTTTTCCTCATCCTAGATTTAAAAAGGCTGTAAATGATAAATCTGAAACAATATCTTTATACGAATATAAGAAAACAAGTGAGCCTGGCTGGCATGGCTCAGTGGTTGAGCATCAGCCTATGAACCAGGAGGTCAGGGTCCGATTCCTGGTCAAGGGCACATGCCCGAGTTGGGGGCTCAATCCCCAGTGTGGGGTGTGCAGGGGACAGCTCATCAATGATTCTCTCTCTTCATTGATGTTTCTCTCTCTCTCCCTTCCTCTCTAAAATCAATAAAAATATATTTTAAAAAAAGAAAGCAAGTGAGACTCTCAAAAGGCTCTTAATCAGCTGGATCTGACTGCGTGCTTTAAACTATTTATCACAAGATGTAAATCACTTAATTCCTTCTTCCCCCAAAAGAATCCCAAGATTGCGAGACAGCTTTTGTCATCGGGCAGAGATGACACTCTGATGAGAGGTCACATAAGCTGATAATCAGTTAAGAATTTGCAATTTATTTTACTATGTTCAGGTATGAGGGATCTATTTTCATGCCAGTTTATTTTTGGAATGTTTTTCCAAATCTTTGTCCTCTATGAAGTATATCTTTTTGGAGTGTGTGTATGTGTAATGGCTGCTGAAATGTTGACTGCTTATGGTTAAAAGGTGGACTTGGGCCCTAGCTGGTTTGGCTCAGTGGATAGAACATCAGCCTGGGGACTGAAGGGTCCCAGTTGGATTTCGGTCGGGGCACATGCAGGCTCAATCCCCGGCCTTCAAACTTTTGTCTGCCTCATTCTAAAATTTACACAGTAGACCATTTGTCATCCATGCTGCCCCACAAATAGTTTTTTGTTTACGATTTATGACAGGTTTATGTTACTTCTATTTGAATTTCTATATTTCCCATGTGGTTTTTATGTTTAATATAAACCTTAAAATCCTCACTGAACCATTTGCTAGCTGGGTGCTTGGAAAGGAAATTCATATCGCTGCCCCTCAGTTTCCTGATCTATAAAATGGGGAAAATTACAGTAACAATCTTCAGGTATCACTGAGGATTAAATAATAAACATAAACACTAACAAGAGTGTCTGGCTAAGTAAGAATCACTGAAGCCTTAGCTATTATTTATAAATCATGATTCTGTCTCCAGGACAGAAATTACACATACACTTCACTGTATTCTACAAGTTATAGATTTCAGATTTCAAAGTCATTTTGTGTGAGGGGGTAGGAATAGATTTTGAATGGCAAGATAAAATCACCCTCACAATTATTTTCCGAATTTGGCAATAGTTACAATCTGCTGTGTCTTCTTTTAAATGAACCTCCATAATCAGTACGTTTTCCCCTCTTCTCTCTACGAGGTGGCTCTGGTGCACCGTGGTAATACGTGATCCTTGAAATAAGGAACTTAAGTTAAGATGAGAAGGCATACACACAAAACACTGAATGAAACAGTGTTATATATCAGCAATACATATATACGGATACACTTAGAATACTTTATCACCTGATGTAAGTGTGTATATATCTGTGGGGATAAAGCAGGCAGGAATTATAGTATGATTTATGTGGGAAGCCATTGGTAGACAGTCTAAAAACAACTCTTTGTGGGACATAAGGCTCTTAAGGAAAGTGGGACATAATTAGAACTTGGACATAAATCTATTTGGCAGGCAAAAGACAGCCACTTTAGGTGTTTTTTTTTATGAAAATAAAGAACTGAGATTTTTTATGCAAAATGAACTGCAGGAGGGTTGAAACTGGAAGTAGGAAGTTCAATTTATGACTTAGTGAGAAAAAAAAGGCAACAGTGAGAAGGGAAGATGTAAGATTTCAAATGAAGCAGACATTCTTGACCGCCTTCCAATATCCATTTCCTGTACCTCCTCCTCAAAGAACTCCAACATTGCTGGATATCTCCTCTTTCCTGACACAGCTCATGTGCCTTCGAGCAAAACTAACCCCACATAGCTTCAGGGTGAGCAAGATGGCTGAAGGATAGCCTCCTAGCCCTTGCCAGAGGTTGGTTCAGAAACAAGGGGGTGACCTACTCGTGAACCTGTAAGAGGCCGATGAGATGAGAGATATGCTGAAAATTTTGAGAAGAAATCCTCTTGCAACTGCTGGGGTCCTCTGGAAGCAATCTTCGCTACTTCCTGCTGGCTGTGATCCGATAGCACACACCCCGGATTGCTGCTGGCAGGCAGCCTACGTGTGCGAGAGGAACTGCCCAGTATGCAGCCACTGTGGGTAGGAGGGCTGAGAAATGGACAGAAACCAGCCAGAGGATGACACTGTTGAGATGCTGCGCTAACCAATCCGGAAGAGACTCAGTTACTTTTAAAAAATATATATTGTTATTGATCCCAGAGAGGAAGCGAGAGGGAGAGAGAGATGGAAACATCAATGATGAGAGAGAATCATTGATCGGCTGCCTCCTGCACGTCCCACACTGGTTATTGAGCTTGCAACCGGGGCATGTGCCCTGACCAGGAATTGAACCGTCAGCTCCTGGTTCATAGGTTGACACTCAACCACTAAGCCACGCCGGCTGTGTGAGACTCAGTTATTTAAGCCATTAAATATTTTTCCTTTTTAGTCTCAGGAAGCATGTCTGTTACTTGCATGTGAGAGTCTGCTCAACAACACACCAAGTCTCTGAGCTTGGGCATGAAGAAACCTGTGTTGGTCTCAGAGGCAAGGAAGCTGTGAGGCGAATTGATTTGCAAAGTTGCTAACTTCAACTGGGGGCAAAATCAAATCAAGTTGATAAAGCCAGCTTTCGGAGACACGTGTCTTGGAAAAATCAGAGCATATTTAAAGAACCAGTGTCCTTCTTCTCCAGCTACACAAAAATGTCCTATTTCTCTTGCAGAACTGGGGTCAGAGGTAGAAAACTGACAAGTGCTCTGATGGCATCTGCCCTTGACTTAGAGCTGGTTCCCGTACTGCTCCTGGTGCCCGCATTGAATTCCTGCAGGCCTGGATCCTTATCTGCGTTACCACTGACTCCAGGTCATAGGTGATGGACAACTCACACCACGATTTCCTGAAAATCTTGATTTTCCGGCTTATGGACACTTAGTTCATTACTACATCCCTCCAGCAATGGGAAGAATATATTTCCTGACTACTAACCTGGGAATTTGACCCACAACTATGTCTTCATTCTGGCTGCTGAGCTAGCTAATCTTGTTGCTACCATATCCCAACAAACTGGATAAAGTGAGGCTTGAAAGGTTATAATTTCATGTCATATTTCTGAACATCAGAGAAATTGTTCATTTAAAAATCTATATATATACAAAAGGGTAATATGCAAAGTGCCCCCTCGGGAGTTCAACCGAGAGACCGGGAGTTCGATCGCTCACTATGACGTGCACTGACAACCAGGGGGCGGTGTGGAATGAAGGAAGGCCCTGGTTGACAGCCGGATCGGCCCTGATCGCCGGCCAGGCCTAGGGATCTTACTTGTGCATGAATTTCGTGCACTGGGCCTCTAGCATGATTATATGCTCGTGAACCTAATGAAAACACACCAAATTAGTTGTATTTTAAAATAGTTAAACTGTCCAACTACATTATTAATGTCTTCCCAAGTTTTAACAATCTCGTAAAAAAACTGCAAAAATATTTTTAAATGATTTACAAAGATAATGGAATTAATAACTTATGTGAGAATAATTCAGAATGAATTAAAATTACAATGTTAAAGTCATTAAAACATTCATCACCTTTTTTTTTTTTTAAATCAAATTAAAGAGTAGTAGATATCTCTTTTTAGGGTAGACAGGTTTGTTACCTGATAATAATATCCCCAAATATCCCCAAATCTCATAATCTGAAGTGTTTTTACCTGAGGTTCCAGTTTCATGATTTTTTTCTTCTGGTTTGCCATTTGACTTGAAAGCTCTTTTTTCGTCCACCTCATCATCGCCCCACCATGAAGGCTGCCCATATAATGGAGTACCGCGGGGCATGGCAGAAGTATCTGGAAAGAGGTAGGAAAATCTGTCTAAAGCATATGAAACAGAAAAAAAAGTGCTTTGCAGACATTAGAACTGCCTGGTTGATTTGTGAAATGAAAAACAACGTATAGTCTAGATGGCTGAAAAGTACTACTTAAGTTAAATAACAACTTAGTATTTGTGCAAGACCTTATTCAATGTCGGACATGACTAAAGAAATTGTGTTTTGCACTCACTAGTATCTAAGTACTGCAAACTGCTAAGCCCAATAACTTTCTACTCAACCACAATCAGTTATTTGGTCAACAGAAATGACTCCTTAAGTCTAAATATAAAAGATTAAAGTCAATTTTGGTATGAGTGACTATTTAAATTTTTTTTAAAGCCATAGGGCATTGCATATTAACTAAATTTAAACTTGCTGTTAATAATGTAAACAGATTTACATTTGAACAAATTTGGTGATGCCTCTCAATTTAAAAAAATTGCTTTGCATGAAAGGGATTATTTATCTGAAGCACTTTTTACAGTTTCTGGAACATGATAAATATGATAATTGTGATGATGCAGCATCAGTGGGTATTTCCTATGAATTCATTTCAGTTATTATAATTCAGAAGAAAAAGCAAACACATGTGAATTAATAAAAATACTGTACGGTGAATTACATTTAATTCCCTTACATATTTAAACATATGAAACACACCTACATACAACTGCCATAGAATGTGGTTTATAATGCTTTGCAGCGAAAGCACTGCCTGCATTAAAGTCCACTGTGAAACTGTTATTATTATTATTACTAGAGGCCCAGTGCATGGATTTGTGCACTGGTGGGGTCCCTTGGCCTAGCCTGCGGGGGTCGGGCTGGAACTGGCTCTCTGACATCCCCTAAGGCAGGGGTTCTCAACCTGTGGGTCACGACCCCTTTGGCGGTTGAACAACCCTTTCACAGGGGTCGCCTAAGACCATCCTGCATATCAGATATTTACATTACAATTCATAACAGCAGCAACATTAGTTACGAAGTAGCAACGAAAATAATTTTATGGTTGGGCCACATGAGGAACTGTATTTAAAGGGCCAGAAGGTCGAGAACCACTGCCCTAAGGGGTCCCAGAATGTGAAAGGGCACAGGCCAGGCCAAGGGACCCCATCGGTGCACAATCAGGGCTGGGGAGGGACTGCCGGAGGGCTCCAGGGAGTGTCCGGCTCATCTGGCCCAGTCCCGATGGGCTGGACCCCAGCAGCAAGCTAACCTACTGGTCAGAGCGTCTTCCCCCTGGTGGTCAGTGTGCATTATAGCGACTGGTTGATGGGTCCGAGGTACAATTAGCATGTTAGCCTTTTATATATATACTAGAGGCCTGGTGCACA